CGAACCAGGAATATGCTGATAAATCAGTCACATGGCCCTGCAATTAGGCCGGCCGCGTATGATCAACGCTGCAGACTGTACTGTCAAGACTCCGATTGACAGTGATTTCCCCGAGCATCCTTCGCGAACGATTCTCGCGACTCCTGCCACAAACGAGAAGCCATCTTTTTACACGTCTTCCCTGGTCAAGCACTATTTTGCGCAGCACATCCATAAGCTGATGTCATTGGGTGCGCTCAAGCCGGGCTTCGGCGATTACAGCACCATTCAGTCAGTCCATGCTGAAATCTCTCAATTTCTCAATGGCTTGCCATCCACAATGAGACCAGATGGCCCTGATAGATCCTGGGACTCTCAATATCCAGATTTTGTCAAGCACAGGCTTAACATATCAATCGTCTCAAACTCATTTCTCCTGGCACTTCACAAACCGCATGTAGTGCAGCATGTCCAAAGCTCTGAGCTCGCAGTCTCGGCAGCGATTGGGGTTCTCAACGATACGCAGCTCTTATTCGAAGAGACAAATCCACATCAATATAAGATATACACTGTGTGTTTCTACCTCGTCGATGCAGGCTTGCTTCTTGCTGCGATGCTGGCGAGACTGCCAGGGCTTGACCAAATCAAATCACATGCGATCACAACTCTTCAGCGGGCGGTACTTACGTTGTCAAAGCTGAAGGAGAAGAATCACGTAGCTGTAGCTGGCGAGGCAGCGTTGCAGCACTGTCTCCAACGGCTCGGCTGCAGTGCAAAGATCACGGAAGTGGAGCAGCAACACACTGACGACCACCTCCCAACCACTGTAGCTACACGGATCGAGACTGCAGGACAATATGAAGGATCGCTACCAGCTGTCGATGAGAGCGCATTGATCACGCCGGCTAGCAGTGTGCCACAAACTCAGCCAGAGTCGGCTTTCGACCAATGGAGGCTTGAGGGACCAGATATTTTCGGTCAAATCATGGACGATGAAGCTTGGACGGCATCGTGGCTGGAGCAAATGAACAGTATCTCCTCGATGAGCTTCGACTTCGACGAGGACGGCTTGGAGTGGAATACCGGGTCGAGTACTGCCTTGTCTGCGTAGACCCCGGTCGTCAACGTAGTTTCCATCGAGACGTTGCGTCGCGCTGTGGAAGGAAATCTATTCAATAGCACTGTAAGAGCCAACGTAGGGGTCTTCCACGAAATAATGGTAGAAAAAGCCAGGGGTTGCTCCGCAAGCTGTTGGATGCTGATTGGCGGACTGTCTCAGCGCCAAGCGATCTCTCCGCAGGAGAATATCTGGCCCCTTTCCATCGCGTGCCCGTTGACAACTTCAGGACATTTTCTCCCCTCCTCTTGCGCCTGGTCCTGCTCATCAACCATGAAGTCCTTTTTGTACTATCTCGGCCTGCTGGCTCTGGCCGTGTCCAGCGTCTACGGCACTGCATTGACCTACAAGTTGAGCGCAAACGAGAAAGCATGTTTCTTCACCGACGTCCAACGGCAAGGCGCCAAAGTCGCGTTTTATTTCGCCGTACGTATTCCCGTGGACCGAAAAAGAGGCAAAATGTTGACTTGAATGTGCAGGTCCAATCGGGCGGCTCCTTCGATATCGATTACGAGGTGGTCGGACCCAATGACAAGAAGATCATGAATGGGGAGAAAGAGAGACAGGGAGACTTCGTCTTCACGGCACAAACTGCGGGCGAGTACCGGGTGTGCTTCAACAACGAGATGTCCACCTTTGCGGACAAGATGGTCGATTTCGAGGTCGCTGTACGTTGCACTCCGCCAAGCTCATTCCTGGGAGGCCACAGATGCTGACGAGTCGGAAACAAAACACAGGTCGAAGACGAATCGAAATCCGCACTCCTGCCCCAAAAAGCGGGCTCGACGCCCGAACAGCACTCCGCGCTCGAGGACCTCGTCTTCAAAGTCAGCGGCCAGCTCAGCACGGTCAGCCGCATGCAGAAATACTTCCGGACACGTGAAAACCGCAACTTCAGCACGGTGCGGAGCACGGAGCAGCGCATCTTCAATTTCAGCCTGATTGAGGTGTTGATGATGGTGGCGATGGCGGGGTTGCAGGTTGCGGTGGTGAGGTTCTTCTTTACGGGGAGTCGGAAAGGTGAGTTTTGTTTGAGGCTTGGTGAGAGGTGGTGGTGGGGTTTTGCTGATGATGTTGTTTTACAGGTTACGTATAGACTAGACAACGATGTTTACGCTATGGGCTACGGTTGGGCGATGGTAGACGTCGTATCCAAAACGCAAAACGGAGTACAAACGGAAGACGCGGGATTGGCAGAAGTCGACGGACGGGGACACACAGAGATGATCCACGTTTACGCGCTGGTGTGGCGTACTAGTAGGGCAGACAATCTGCCTGCCGAATGCCGTCCTAGATGTCGACTACCTAGAACGTCCCCCTGCGAACGCTTCTAACCACCGCGCTAAGTGCTCTGAAGTCTACCTCCACATATCTATCTATCCTCTGTTTCTCGGTCTTCCGACCTCCCTCCGCGGACTACCTTACCTGTCCCGTTCGAACCCTCATCTCCCAGGAAATTTCTCTTTCCAGAACTCTCCCTCGATTGATACTTTCTCCTCGTTTCTTCGTGCTAAATCCGTTTCCCTCCCGCAGATAGCAGGTGAGGGAGCAATGGTTGGATTACCGGGTGAATAAGTCGTTGTAGAGACGGGGAGAAGATTTCAAGGAGTAGTGATCATTTGATGCTATGATGCTTCACAATGAGCCCAAGGCATGAGTGCCAAAGATGTGTTCTCTGGACCAGCTACCCTACTAGTTCAATCGTCGAAGAGACTTCACTTCCCAGGTAAGATAGGATCCGCTCTTTGATTAGGTCTGTACTCCCCTGCAAATCAACAATCAAACATCTTTGTCGTGCTGACGTTCAAACGGCTCCATTTCTTGCCGTTGATGACACAGCTGAGGAAGCGCATTGGCCAGTAGATATGGTAGAGCCACCACCACGGAAGCGGGTCCCAGATTTCGTACGTCCCGTCTTTCCAGGTCAGAAGGAGACCGATGAAGTCGACGTAGTTTTGGAGGAGAATTGAGTAGGATAGTTCGAGCTTGAGGAACGAGATGGTTGGCAGCACGATGAGATTTACGAGATCGTGGCCAACCCAGTAGTACTTGTCATTCTTAAGAGGTCGCGCAATGGGAGTCTCACTCGTGCCATTTGAGACGTCCAAGGCGGAGAGATACCCATCGACCATCGTTGTTGTGTTGTTGAACAGCGCGACGGCGGTATGTGCCCGGGGATTACACTCGATTGGGTACAACGTGATGTTGTTGGGATCAAGAGCATCCTCCTTTTCCACCATGAAGTCAAACGACAAATGACCTGTAAACGCTGGACCACTGCTGGAGGCGTATTTCTTGGTGAAGTTGAGCATTGCCTGGCTGAGAGAAGCATCGAAGGGTAGTGCTTTGTAGTGCATAAGCAGTTCGGCCGAGGGACATGCCACGAAGGCCTTGACTTGGCCTTTGACGACCAAAGAATGCGTGCAATACTCGCTACCCCTGACGAACTCCTGTAAAATCCACGGTGATTCTTCTGAGATCTTGAGCCGTGCGATGTGTTTTGATGTTTCGATCTGTGATGCTTTCGGGAGGAGGGTCATATCTGCGCGGACTGAGTCGTCGACACCGATGGTCTTCATGATGTACTTGCGACCAGGCCGAGTCATGCATAGGATTCTTTCGACTGTTGCTCGACTGGTGATCTCGTGGGTTTCGGGGACTGTGAGACCGATGGATTTGGTGTGCTTGATGAACGAGTGCTTCTCGTGCAAAAGCTGGGTGGTCTTGACGTCAAACTGAACGGCCTTGCAGCTGGTCCTGGCTTCGACGACTTCCTTTGCCATGCCATCTTCCACTGCTGAGGCGACTCCGGAACAGCTGACCCACAGATTGACTTTCTCCTTGCTCACGATCTCCAGCAGGCTTTGGATATATGGAGAGGCTCCAGATCTTGTGTCAGGCTTCTGCAGGCGGTAGAATCTTCTTAAGGAACGCGAGACGCGTCCGCATACAAGAGAGCAGTCGGGCTCGAAATCAGCTCCAATGACATTGTGGCCGGCCTCGTAGAATAGGCGTGCTAATACCAGACCTTTGGTCATGCCCACTCCTGTGACCAGGATCGTGCGAGGTTCGAAGCCATGTTCTTGGCGGGCATGGTCTCGACTCCGCTCCACATTGTTGGGGATGATTTTGGCAACAAGGAAGGAGACGACAAGAATGAAAGTGTTAAGAGGAAGGAAAGCGATGCTTAGGAGGATGAGGGCAGCATTTTGAAGCGTATGGGCACGCCGCGATGAATTGGCGTCCAGCATGTCTACACAGCGGTCTGACACGTCGTACTCAAAATTGGATGGTAGTACCTTGCATAAAAGAATGGCCAAAGGCAGAGATGCGAGAGACTTTCACATGCACGTGGTGGAAGTGAAGTGTTGTGGGAAGGAGCAAGCGATCAGTCAAATCTCGACGTCACGAACGGCTAAGGGTGGGTCTGAGTTTACTTGTCACTTTTTTGGCACTGCTTCTTTGGAGGGAAGTAGCAAGCTGATCCGATCTTCACTTGCAGCGAGATGAATGGAAAGAGGATCCGAGAGTGCACATACTAACTTGCATGAGGGAGAGAAAGGATGTCGAATTCAAGCAAAATGCAAGGCCAGCCAGGAGAGTTTCAAAAGACGCAAATGACGGTCATGGCATGACATTCCGTGAATCAGCCAGATGAACAGAGTCATCTTTCCCAAGACATCTAGAGACACCTAAGATGCTCCTGAACAGAGCTTACTGTTCGAGGTAGGAATCTTGTGTGGTGTACCTTCGCAGCGAAGCTTAGTCTGGCTCCTCGACTTGGTAGCCCCTTGATCTGCCGTAGTACGAGGAGGCAGCGACTGCCCACTTCTGTGACTCATGCCAACAGCATTGTTCAACACAAAGTATATCAAATGCAACTCTTAGTTCTTGCCCAAATATCAGCTAGGTGGAACAGCGGCTAATTCACCGGGCTCATAACCCGGGGGTCGGAGGTTCGAGTCCTCCCCTGGCTCTTTCCTTTTGCGTTTTTGCCATTCTGTCCGACGATTTTGTATGGAAGCTATGACTCCGCAGCACCGACACATCTGGTGATTTCCACCGCATCCTAAATTAATCAGTCAGCATGGGATGTAAATCGAGGGCTACCGGCAACACTTACTGGTACCCCAGAAGGCTCGAAGCTATGCACAAGCTTGCTTTCATATACCAGCAACGGATTCCCTACCCTCTTTTCATCCAGCTTGGCTTCACCTTCTCGCTTGAAGTACTGTTTTGCTGTTCTGTCCGCGAAACGAGAGTCGACCCCGTTCACAGTCCCAGAAGATGCGTTCGCTTGCTTCTTCTGGTCAACACTACTCCGAACGTACTCCAGATAAGGAGGATTGCCGGGCTTGATGACATTATCGGCGGCAAGGACAGACCCCGGTTTGACCAACTTCAGCTCCTCGCAGAGCTTCAGGTCCGTCGTGTATGCAGGCTTGTAGTGGTCCAGGAACATCAGGTCAATATTCTCAAGAGCACCTTTTGCATGTAACCGCCGGATGGAATCATCACTCGATCCAACAATGACCTTGACAATGTCGCCAAGACCTGCAAGATCGACCAAGGAGGAAATGACGGCCGCAAATTCCGGGTTCCGCTCGAGGCTGAAGTACCGTCTACCACCAGCCTTGCGGACAGCATCCCCAAATAGAATGCAGGAGTACCCGACATAGCCACCGAGTTCCACCATGACTTGTGGCTTGACCTCGGCTATCAGATCCGTCACAATGCGGCCTTTGTCCTCCCCGACATTCATGAGATACTTTTTGGTCCGGGCAAATTCGTCAATGGCAGCGAGAACTTTCGCGGGCGAGTCACGGACGTCCTCGACATCTGGCTTGCTGTAAACAAAGTGCAACAATTCGATTTCGCGGCCATCATCAAACTTGGAATAGATCAGTTACAATCACGAATCGGAGTTCGGCCGGCAGTACAAACGTCTCTTCTTGCTCCTGGTACTTCTTCTGAGAATCAAATTCAGCCATTGTTGCGTCGATGTTCTTGGGCGATGGTGTATTAAAATCAAGCAAGCGGGTATGAAATTGTGCTTCAGTCGATATGGTCGATATTTCTGACCAGAACAAAAGACACGGCTAGGGACGAGAACCCTTGGCTCTGGGTAATCCCGGAGTGCATGGCAAACTACCTGCCGTGGAAACACATATCCTCTTATGTTGATCACAACATTCACGGGTGTAAGTTCAGCCAATGGAATAAGGACTCACTGATTTGCCTTTGACGCAGGAACACGTTGAGAGGTAGAAGACGAGATAGAGTGTGGCCAGATCTGCTGTGGGGTATCAAGCGAGACGCACGATGAGATCGAATTTGAGCTACGACACTTGGAATGATGTCGACACGTCGCTTTGGCTGGTCGATGAGGACGTTGGACGGAGAACGTGGGTTGGTCGATGATTCGGTGATACTTCCGGAGCCAATAAGGGGTTTCCAGCTAGGCTGTTTTTGAGCTAGCTCAATTTCTCCGCCTTGGCCTGCTTCGACATCTTGTTCTGGTTCCTCCTGAAAATTTTCTTGAGTGAGGTACGTACACCTACCCCGGTAGTCGTCATCATTCGCTGCTTGAGTGCGGGTGCATGATGGATGTTTGTGCAAGACTCATCGACTTGTCCTGCCCTGGCCGCTCAGAGACTTGCCGGAAACTGAAGCCAGGACATGGACCCTCAGGGCCAGACAACCCAATCTGCTACCCGAGCAGGGCGCTAGGATCTGAAGTCCCACGGTTTTAGACGCCATTTGCTCCTCTCTGTTCCTGTCCATGGCGATCTGGAACAAGTGCGGTGCCTGGCAAAAGAACACCCAAGGAGGGTCTGGCGGCCGACAAAACGCAAGACTCCAGTACCTCACGGTATCTGCAATGAGTCGCGCAACTTTACCTCATTGACCTTGTACCACTACATCATCACTGCGCTTGGTTCGAATTCAAAGTAATGCTAGTCCTTGGGCTGACATTTTTCCCATGCCGGGATGAAGGGGATCACTCCACAGAGCATGCCTTCCGCCCATGGTGTGGGGCGAACATGTGGAAACTGTTTGCGGAACCATCTTGCCGGCTAAAGAATGGCTTCCTTTCACACTCCATTCTCTGAAAATATCCAACGAGATGGAAGACAGCTTCCGTTGGTCGGGTCTGATGACGACCAGTCGAAGCAGGTTTCTGAAAGACGTCTCTTTCTGACCAGTCGGTGGACCTCGTGCCAATGAGTATCATATATCATGCTTGAAGCCCTCTTGCGTGATATTTTCCTTTCTTTCTAACGCTGCTATTGACTCAACCTCATACATTATTTCTCATCAACTGAGAAGTCTGCTCAAACATCCAGAATGTCGGACCTCAAGGCAACAGTCGCCGAGACGAAAGCCGGCTTCCACGTCGAAGGCTACGAGAAGATCGAATATGACTTCACCTTTATTGATGGAGTCTTTGATCCGAGCCGAAGCGAGCTGGCTGACTGCTACAAACGCTGGGGCCGCTGCCTCGCCGTCATGGACCTCAACATCTTCAATGTCTACGGTGAGACAATGCAGAGATACTTCGATTATCATCAAATCGACCTTGACATCCACAAGACGATGATTGGCGAGAAGGCAAAGTCCATCGACACCTTCCTAAGCATCGTTGATTCAATGACCAAGTTCGGTATCTTCCGGAAGGTACGAAAATTACCCGTGATAGATATGTAGCAACGCTGACCGGCCACTTTCAGGAACCAGTGCTCGTCATTGGCGGTGGACTTGTTACAGACGTTGCCGGGTAAAAACAAACCACTTGCCAAAGATGACCTCAAGGCACTCTGACCCATATTTTTCCTTGGCTGTATTGCTGTCGAAGAAACTCCTACTAACCTGTCGTCATTAGGTTTGCCTGTGCTGCATACCGCAGGAACACCAACTTCATCCGCATTCCAACCACTGTTATCGGCCTGATTGACGCGTCAGTGTCGATCAAGGTCGCTGTCAACTATGGCAACTACAAGAACCGGCTTGGAGCGTATCATGCGCCGATGCATACGTTCCTTGACTTCACATTTCTCCGTACACTACCGGAAGCGCAAATCCGCAACGGCTTCGCTGAGCTAATCAAGATCTCCACTTGTGCTCATCTGCCTACATTTGAGCTGCTCGACACGTATTGCGAGCAATTGATCGGCACTGGATTCGGTCGAGCTGATGGAGCTCCAAAGGAAGTCCGCGACGCTGCGGACACCATCAATCGAGCAGGAATTCACGAGATGTTGAAACTCGAGACTCCAAACCTGCATGAGATTGGTCTTGACAGAGTTATTGCATATGGCCATACGTACGTTATCCAACTGTCCTGTGCGTTTAGAGCTGACAGTTACCAGTTGGTCCCCTCTCCACGAGCTGGTCCCTGAGGTCCCACTCCGTCACGGACACGCCATTAGCATCGACATGGCCTATTCGGCAACGCTGGCAAACATGCGAGGTATCCTGAGTGATGAGGAGCACAAACGGCTCCTCAATCTTTTCTCCCGAGCAGGATTGTCCATGGACCACCACCAATTCGACGAAGAGCTTCTCGACAAGGCCACCGCCGCGATCTTGAGAACACGAGATGGCAAGCTTCGAGCTGCTGTTCCGAGCCCACTTGGCAAGTGTGTTTTCTTGAACGATGTCTCAATGGACGAAATGTTCGCCGCACTGAAGAAGCATAAGGCTCTCATGAAGAGCTATCCTCGAAATGGAGAAGGACTCGAGGCGTTTGTCGATTCCAGTGACACAGGCTACACTGTCAACAACAAGGCGGTTGAGGATGATACCAACGGCATGTCGAACGGGCTCAAGAAACTCAAGGTTTTGAATGACGATACTCATTCAAATGGTGTTCAGATCAACGGACACACCAATGCCGATGGGAAGAAGACGAATGGGGTTACGAACGCGGCAAAGCATGCATCTGGTCCGGAAGGTGTTGACGGACTTGCCGAAGGGGCTGTGAACGGTACTTCAAATGGACTTGCAAACGGCGCCGCTAATGGTGTGAACGGCCACAGCCATGGAATTAAGGTCCAGAGCTGAAGTACAAGAGACTAATATCAAGTTGAGCTTAAATGTGCAACTGGATGGAATGGCATGGATGAAACTCTGATATGAAAGGACATAGCAATATATGAATCATGGAGCATATCGATAAATGACAGTTGAAATGTTCTGACGCTAGAGACATCGATACTAAATTGCTTGGAAAGTTGTCACAACGCAATTACCAAGCTCCGACGGTCCTTTATGTCTAAGGCCTTCATCTTCAATATCGAATTGTGAGAAGCATTAAGCGCGATTTTCCAAGAAGATAGTCATGATGTCAGCCATGTCTTTAGCACTGGGGCATTGGCCAGAATTTTTGATATGCATAGCTTGTCGCACAATTTTCGCTGACGAAGACCTGGAAGCGTCAAATAACTCCGTGTAGCAAGACCCTTCTAGAGCTCATGCACGCGGAAATGCCCTTGACTAGAATTTTCGAACGCACTTGCCTGGGGAAGGCTCAGCACCTGCATAAGCCGGAAGCGGGCGTCAGTCAGGGAAGAACCTCATAAGCAGCTACACCAATATCGCATCTGCCGAGATGGACACAACGTACTTCACCTGCACACTCGGTCAAGCTGTGAACCACCAAGCTGGTAAGCGCTACGGCACTATCAACGACTTCATCGCTCATAAAGCTTCATCTTGTCCTGACACCCCGGTCGTTGGCTTCTATCATGTGGGCAGCGAGTCTTCACCGCAATGGAACCCAAACGTTCTTACGTTCAAGGACATCTCGCGAGGCACTGCTAGAATTTCTAACGCGTTGTTGAAGCATATTGTCTCAGAACATGGGCAGACAGTAGCCCTACTGTGTCCCAGCTCAGCAGACTTCCTTTTCACATGGCTGGCACTCATTCGACTGGGCTACCCAGCGCTTCTTGTCGCGCCCCAATGCTCACCGTCC